TGATTATCATTAACTAAGGATAATTAGTTGTATTTAAAAACATAAATTTTAAATATAAAAATAAAAACAACTATTTATATTCAAAAGAAACTAGATTTTTCCATATGATAGTTTAGTTTTAAATTAAAATGATCGTATCTTCAATTAACAATTAAATTAACTTTGCTTAATTTAAATATATTCTTAAATTTAAAATAATTAGAATTTATATTTTAAATAGAATAACATAAAGTTACGATATAAAAAAATTTAAATTATTCTTCAGTTTTTTTAAATATAGTACATCTAATAATTTTAAAAAATATAAATTAACATTCCTCGCTACGAGATAAATATTGTCCATTGCCCATTGTACTTCTACTTTTTTTGTTAGTTTCGATATACTCTTACATTTTCAACATAGGAAAATGCCAAATATAATAAGATATATGAAGACAAGAATGTGCAAAGTATACTATCTATTTTTGACCTCATTGTTAATTATAGCAGACTCTCTAATTGTTGTTCTACCTTGAAAAATATTCATAGTATCTTGACGATCGACATAGTTTCAATCTGAATAAATGCGTGTTATTAATTACTGTAATCATAATATAACAGATCAATCTTGATCCTCAATCCAGAAAGATTTGAGTACAAGACAGGAAATAAAACGATTGTTATTTCACTATCTAGTTCATAGTCTGAATGCATTTTATATTATCCAATGATTACTTTTAACAAATGATATAGATATTGAAAAGTTTTCTACTTGCATTCTACCGCTTGTACTTTCCATTATTGATTAGTTTAAACGAATTGACAGATATATTTGGTGTAAATAAAGTGGATTGTTTAGAATTTTCAGACTAGTCTGACTAGAACAGGTGACATACTCTTTGAAAAAGGACAAGTCATGACGAGTGCAGACAACGCTTCAGACTAGTCCTGACTCTATGAAAGACATTTCAGACTAGTCAAAGTCGTGTGACATCGACTGGTTTCTGATTGTCTACTGGATGGACGGGGGTCAATCTTGTATCTTAGACTGTATAAATTGACGTCAGTCTATCTCACTTTCCTAGTCTGCCGTCGGGATGCCCGTCCGGTTTTGAATATTGTCGGGTCGGGTGTTCGAATCTATCTTTCATCTTCTTTTTTTAGTGTTCAGACTAGTCTGGACGGGTTCAAAGGACACAACGGACCAGACATGACTGGGTTCAAGGTCTTTCTAGACTAGTCCAGACGTGTTTGAAGCACATTTCTCCAAAAGGTGACTAGTCATGACGGATGTGCAAGACGTTTCAGACTAGACTTGACGGGTGCTGCGGACATTTTGGACTAGTTATGGACGCCGTCTTTCGTTATTTTCTGCTCACTTGGGCAGTCGCATCAAAAGTATAAAATCGATATGAATAAATATTAACCCTTTGAGTCCTGAATTTTTTTCTACTGAACCGAATTTGATGAAACTCTGTATAAACTAACTGACATTATGAAGCATATGGTTAAATTACAATTAAGAAAGCAAGTCGCCACATGAAGATTAAAACATTTTTGTCATTATTGCATTTTAATAAAAACAATTGCTATCATAATTATTGAAATATTTATTTAGTTCATTACTGATACACATAGTTTCTATGATACAACAAAAAAAAAATTTTTTTACACAAAAACCAACACAGCAAAAGTTTTAAATTATATTCGTTCTTTTCTCTCTTTTTTTGTGCTATAACAAGCGTATCGACGATAAATTGAAATAACTTTTGCAAGATGAACCAAAAGTTGTGATTTTTCGGATCTGTTTGTGTCGCTTATGCTCCTTTCAATGCGATTTTTGCTTCCGATTTCTTATGTAGAAAGATCTTCCTATCCTTTTTCCACTACGATAATTAACTACGAATACATTAACCAATAAACGACATATTCTAAATATCCTCGAGTACCAAATTGGTCAAATCGGTAGCCTCGATATGAATAACCTATGCTCACTAAATTTTTGGGCATACACATTGACATTGCGTATTATGTCTACAAAAGATAATTGTACTGTTGAGGATTAATGTAAATAAAACAAATGAATTTAATCTTTTGAAAACTACTGAATTATCATAGTGCCTCATGTATATCTCCTGAATATAGATTTTGAAGAACAGGAAAATAAACGAAGAATTTTGAAAATCCATGTTATATGCTCAAACCTTTTTTGGGCTAAGGAAACTTTGCATGATGCAATTTTCAAAGTCCTCCATATATTCTATCATTCATGCAATCTAATAGAGACCTCTATAGCTTCCAGGGCTCCGAATGGGCCGAAAGTGTTTTGGAAATTACTGTGAGACAAAAGGAGTTGAAAAGGTTTTTCGAGAAGATTCTATGAGACACTAGCTCTGTGGTTTCGTAGGAACTGCGTTTTTTGAACTAGGTCGTTTCTTTTCACAGTTAGGATTCTTTTTTTGAAAACTTTTGCACATATGAATCTATAAACACTAAAAATTTTCGAAAGAGAGCTCTGACTCTTGACAAAAACAACCTACTTTTAAAAATGCAGTTTCTACGAAACCACAGAGCTAGTGTCTCATAGAATCTTCTCAGAAAAACTTTTCAACCCCTTTTGTCTCACAGTAATTTCCAAAACACTTTCGGCCCATGACGACCCATTCGGAGCCCTGATAGCTTCTAACAGTTATTGAGAATAGTTATCCAGGATCTATAAAAATTTGAGGATTAGAAAATTCTCAAGGTCGGACGTATACATCCCACTAGGACTCAAAGAGTTTTCAAAAAGAGAATTATTTTTCATTTTCAAAAAGAGAAAATAGATCCTACCAAACATGAATAAACTCATAGTTATGAAATTTTGTATATTAAACTATAAAAAAAAAATTTCTAGCTGTTCATCTGCCTATGACATTACTTGTTGAATAGAAAGAGAGAGAAAAAAGAATTGATTCGATCAATTATCCATTCGTCCATCGTCAATTTGGATTATAGAAAAATGTGCCATTGTTTATATTGACGACGTCGATCAAATAAAACACATAAGTGTATCGATATAAATATTGACATTTTTAAAATAAAGAAAATAGACGGAGATGAACATGAAATACTCATGTGTTCAATTGACTGATTTACCAGATGAAATTCTTATAACTATCTTTAAAAAATTGGCTAATATAGAAGTACTTTATTCTATAGTAGGTGTCAATAAACGGTTAAACAAAATTGCATATGATTTTGCTTTTACAAATAACTTGGCTCTTCTGATGTCGACATCAGATGGTTTTGTTTATTCATTACATGATCCAATACTTGATCGATTTTGTTTACATATTTTGCCTGAAATTCATGAAAAAATCAAATGGCTTGAGCTTGAATCATAATCAATGGAACATATTCTTCTTGCTACAAATTATCCTAATCTATGTGGAATCAGTTTATATAATATAGAACCAGAAAAAGCTATAAATCTATTTACTGGTAAGATATTTTACTTTTATTCTTCCAATGATAGACACATTAAATCTATAAGTAAAATAAATTTCTGATCATCATTAACTAGATGATTACAGATTTTATTCAGTTGAAAATAATTTTCTATTTGTTAGTAGGAAGAGAAGAAGGTTGTTATCAAAGAGACTATTATATATGAAATTTACATACTTATATAAAAATAAAAGGCGTAAATATTGTCTCCAACTGAAAGTTTCAAAAAAGTTTTTGCAAAAAGAAAATGTAGAATAAAACAGATGATAACGTTCATGATTGTGATATAATATAACATTTAAGATGCAATATAAACGAATAAGAAAGTCTAAAGAAGAAAATCAAATATGTAAATTATCTCATTATTAAAAAGTGAATAAAGTATACATATTTAGATTTAAGCCAAGTCCGTAGGCAGGAATTTTCTAAGTGAAGGCCCACTAAAGGGTGTGGCGTAAGTTCTGATTCCCTCATGTAATGTATTCTTTTTACATGTCTTCTACACCGAAGAAGCTAATATTTACAGTATAGTTACTAGTTGTCTAGGTCTATTATATGCGAAAATTTCAACTCTCTATCACTTTATTATTATCGTGAAACAGGCATATCCAATATGATAAAAATATTTGACAAATAATCGGAACGACCAAGAACGAGAAATTGTGTCTGTTCTATCACACATTCGTTCCGAATAGCTTTTGCTTTACTATATATATATAGGGATGCAACGGTGACGATCATTCACCGGTTAACCGTACCTACGGTTACCGTAGTGGGACCGGTAACCGTACCTTCGGTTATCGTCACCGTTGCATCCCTACTCAGAAATAACAATATTTATATGGATAGGCCCCAAACAGACTGAAAAAAATCAGACGAATTAAAACTGAATTAACGAATAAATCGTCTGGAATAGACGATTTAAGTCGGAATAGATGAATCACGTTGCTTAATTCAACTTTAAGTTAATTCATTTTTTTCAGTCTGTTTGGCCCCATAGGGGTCAATCAGACTGACTAATTCAAAATGAATTAAGAAACATGATTGGTCTTTTTACATATCAACGTGAATTATATTGGTTAATTCACTTTGAATTAAGCCAACCTGATTGAGGTCAATGGGGCCTATCTTCTCATTTGTTTTTTTCAGACGGCAATGAAAACAATATGACAATAAATATATATGTATTGAGGAAGAAATTGAGCAGTATAGAGAATATCAGTTATATATGAACATTTTAAATAAAAACGATATGAATATACTCGATTTACCTGACGAGATGCTATTTACTATTTTTAAAAAAATGAATATGGTCGATGTATTTTATTCACTTGTGGATGTAAATCAACGATTTCATCGATTAGTACTCTATTCTTTATATATTTCTCATCTCAATCTTACGAACAAAACATTGCTGAATAGGAGCTCTCCAATAGCTAATCAAGTTGTCGATCGAATCTGTGAAAAAATTCTTCCTCGAATTCATCATAAAATATACAAGTTAACTGTTCAACCACTTTCAATGAAATGTATGCTTCTTCCTATTAATTATCCACAACTTCATTCGTTGTCCCTTGTCAATTTTAAACAAAAAATACTTTTACAATATTTGACTGGTATATTTTTTAATTTTGTTTGATTTATCGAACAAAATTTTTTCTATTATTATACATGAATTAATTATGATTTTTTCCTACATTTAAGGTGATACAATAGTTTGTAGTCTTCTTACTAATCAAATTAAACATCTTGATGTTGAAATCAAAGATGATATAACAAGAGAATTCTCTGATGAAAATGAATCAAATATGTTTGAATTAATATTATCTTTGGGTAAATGTCTAGTAGATTTAACTTTTAGTGAATGGTTTTCTGGTAAAAGCCTAAACATATCGACTTTAAATATAACATCAACTGGTTGTGTATCTTCAAGTCTAACTAAATTGAAAATTGAAGTAAATACCTTTGATGATTGTCTTTATCTGCTTGATGGACGTCTTCAATGTTTATCTACATTGATTATCAAGATATTTGAAATTTGTTATTCATTAGCAAATATAGATAATAAAGTAAGTATATATTTGATTGTTATGTGTATAGAAAATTTATACGTAAACTATATTCATTATTTCGTTTTCTTTATAGAAAACATTACCAAAATTGAAATGTTTTTCGTTAACATCGGAATGTTATACGCAATTTTATGACGATGGAATTGTTTTATTATTACGTCGAATGTTAAATCTTGAGAAATTAACATTATTTCTTTTGGTATCCAAAATCGAATCAACTTATATTGATGGTATTCAATTATACGATGAAATTCTTATTTTCATGCCACGATTAAATAAATTGACTTTCAGTATAAATACTCTTGTTTTCAATAGATATATTACAGTTGATCTTCCATCAAACGATGATATTCAAAATAGTTTCATCAAAAGAAGATATCAACCAGTTGGTTCATATGCTGATGAAAAACTTACGGACTACGCAGGCAGATGCCATGTTTATTCACTTCCATATCAATTTGATTGTTTTTATCATCTGACCAACTGTTTTCAAGGTGGCATTTTCAATAAAGTTCGATGGTTGGCAATGGCTGATCAACATCCATTTGAACATGAATTATTTGAAAAAATTTCTCACGATTTCCCTTTTCTTCAGAAATTAGTCGTGCTCAATTCTAAACCGCAAAAAAATAAGCAACATGCATCTACGTTGATCACATTTGTTCATCTAGTTGAACTCGATCTTCGTCTGGCACATACTAATTATGTCGAACAATTTCTCTTGGAAACAAAGACTTGTTTACCTCATTTGAAAAATCTCGTCATCGAATATGAATCATTAGCAATGATAACAAATAATTTTACTAATGATGCTACACGTCGCAATTGTAGTCAATTGCGAAGAATTGATATAGATAAACCATTTATTTGTCCAGAAAATTTTCATTCATATTTTCCTTTATTGTAAATATCAGTTTTCTTCAAAATTATTTCAATTCAGATAAATACATTGATAAAATGAAATATATTCTAATCATAATAACTGACAAATTACTAACGAAATCAGTATAGTCTTTTATTGTTTATATGAACACAATGATGCTCGATAAAGTAATTATATAAAAATAAACAAAATGAAAATAACATCATTGGCTACGATTTAAGTTTGCAATGAATTATTTAATGAAGTCATTCAGTAAAGATCGTTTATTTCATTATATTGATAAATCAAAAAAACCACAATGTAAAAATATTAAATTCAAACGTGTTTTTCAATTTCTTTATTTACTTCTTATTCAATATATTTATGGTATTGATGTTATAACACATTCATTAATCCGACGATCATCTTAAGAACAATATGAATTTGAAGTTTTTTTTAAGATGATTTTTGTAATCCAACAACATGGAGATATGGAAAACTAATTCCTTATTTTCAATTATGTTCTATATCTTATTATAATCCTCAAATTAAAAATTGGACACAACATTTAATTGAAATTGAATATCGTGTTAAAGAATCAACAACACTTTTATTTTTTGTAATTGATCATAATAAAAGATCATTAGCAATTATAGCTGAAGTATATTATTTATCAGCACATCGTAGTAATATAATTGTTGTTATGAATTCAATGCTAGAAAATAAAAAACAAATAAAAATTTATTCAATAAAAAATTTTATAAATGATAAAAGATAATACTTAGGGCAATCCAAAAGTAGTGAGGGAGGTACCTTATTTCCTCAAACAGAGCTCTAAAAAAGTTTCTTTTTTTACCAATAGATAGAGCGTGTTTCACTCTATTTTTCTATGCTATTTGATCACTATGAAACTGTTATCATAATAATAAAATTTCGATAAAATTTGTTTCTGTCACATATGTGCTGGTAGCATGAACATGAATGCTTGTGAGTATTTTTGGAATAACTTTTGATAGAAACAAGATAGAGAACTGCGATTTTCGCCGTTGGAAAGAGGAGATGAAGACGCATCGGACCGTGTATTACCGATTTTTCTAACATGATTTCTGGCAGTTTTTTATTCAATTTTCTAACCGTCGGAAAAATGCTTGTTTTATGAAAAAAAGAAAAAGCAAAAAATTTGATAGAATATCGTAGTAGAGGTTCGTCTAGAATAGTTATTATCTATAAATAATTAAATTTAAACAGCTGAGTCTTTCGCAGTCTGTAGATCTTCGATTAGCGGTTTGAATGTGAACACGATTATTGAAAATTCACTGTAAATAACTCATGGAATAGATTTGCACAAATCGACGTTCTTGGCTCTATTCTTTCCAGATTCTTATTTTGCAGAAAAATCAGCCAAGATTCTTCTTCTATCCTCTCTATATAAGATTCTTGCCTGATTTACAAGGTCTTGTGGAAGTGACGACAAGAATCACGTAGACAGAATCTTGGATGGTGAAGCAAGAAATCCATAATCTGGAAAGAATCTTGCACTTCTTGGAATTCAGGACAGATTCTTTTTTTTATAGTATAGGACCATTTTCTTGGGTAATCTGATCGGATTCTTGCATTTTTTTTAAATATCATCCTCCTGCTATATATAGACTTTCATTATCAATTTTATTCGTACTTTATAGGTTCACAACAAAAAGAAAAAAGAAAAAAAATGAACACTACCCAGTGAAAAATTTTATTGATTTAATCTGAATTATTTTGCAACAAAATCAAAATTAAAGTCAGATTGATAATTTCGATTTTGCTGCAGAATAATCAAATTTAATCAGTAAAATGTTCCACTGGGCAAGCACAAAATCAAGTTTTGATTCAATCATAAAAAATTATCGAAAATTTCAATCGATTTTAATTTTGATTTTGTTGCAAAATAATTCAGATTAAATCAATAAAATTTTCCACTGGATATAATATCACATTTAGTTTTCACAATCTAAAAAATAAAGAAAAAGAAACATTGATAAAGTAACATTATAAAAAAAGAGAATAAGTTCAACTATATGAGGATAACAATCTTCATTAAGGAATAAATGTTAAAAATGCGTTGATTTTGAATAGCTTATAATGAAGAAAAGTTATGATCACATTATCCTTCAAACTGTTATGAGAAACTAAATAAGCTGTAATATAATTTTATTATAAACTATTAATATACTTTACTTCAATTTACAACATACTGACATTGCAATAGTTTTCATACATCTCATGATGTTAACGGTTTAACATTCGTTGTATAAATGAATGATGAATGAGTGTAAGCGATATATATATGTAAGAAAAAAGAATGGACGTCCGCCTTGTAACTCTGGAAAGAATCTTTATATGGTTCTGTCTATCGTTAGGAAGACTCTTGACTGAAGTTCAAGAACAAAAAGAATCTTGACAGTTTTTTCTGAAAAACAAGAATCTGGTAAGAACAGAGCCAAGAATGTCAACTTGTGTTGCTCTTTAAAAGGTGAGCTACAACCTTACAAAAAGCTGGTTAGAAAAATCAGTAATACATAGCTCGATGCGTCTTCATCTCCTCTTTCCAACGGCGAAAATCGCAGTTCTCTATCTTGTTTCTATCAAAAGTTATTCCAAAAATACTCACAAGCATTCATGTTCATGCTACCAGCACATATGTGACAGAAACAAATTTTATCGAAATTTTATTATTATGATAACAGTTTAATAGTGATCAAATAGCATAGAAAAATAGAGTGAAACACGCTCTATCTATTGGTAAAAAAAGAAACTTTTTTAGATCTCTGCTTGAGGAAATAAGGTACCTCCCTCACTACTTTTGGATTGCCCTAAGTAAAAATAATTATGAAAATGTTTGTGAAACTCAACGAACATTAAGAATATTACTTCAATATCATTCACTTTTTTGTTAGATACACAAATTATAAATCTTATGATGGCTGCCAATCATAGACATCAGTCAACTATTAGGCATGCACAAGTGTTAGTTAATCAGTATTAGTTTGACGAAGTATCGAACTGACAGCAATATTAGTTCAAGTACCATCCAATCAAGAGACCATCAAGTTTACTTTTTACAACGTTGACTGCTGCTAGTTGTCAAATACGAAATGTGTGTTTTCCTATCCGAATACATTTTAACTGATGACTCAATTTACACTGGTTTGCAGCTAACTGTTACTGCGTATAACTGGTTGATAATGATCAGGATTGTTCTACCAAATCATTGGCTCGATTAGTACCACAATAACAAAAAATTTCATAATGCACAAAACCTGGTATAAGTCAATTTGAGTATGGATGTAGATGTGATCGTATTACAGTCTTCTGTTCATTCGTATTTTATTTATCCTCAACCACATCGACACCATACACACATATGTTCATAGATTGAAAACTAATAAAAAATCATAAAGATGATGTTCGTTGCGTCGATTTCTTTGGCATAGATCTGATGTGTTGTTAATGTTAAAGTCGGACAATTAACAAAGCCAAAACGTTTTATTGAAAGTATGCGTAACATTATCAATCAGATGAAATAAATGCAGTAAAATCGAAAGGTTCATATAAGCGTGTTAGTATAGTACACAGTGACAGATGTTAATTTGGATGAAAAGTTATATCATTTTAAGCATCAATTAAGAATAAATCGTATCATAAGTAAAAGTCATAGACAATAATCATGATAGCAATATTTCGACTCATTTCTCTTATAACTCTAGTAAGATTGACAATCATTAAACTATCATTGATATTTTATTTTAAATCTTGGGGTGAGGGTGGGTGTGGATAAAGAGGATAGCCACACTCGCACCGACACGCACAGTCACATCCGCACCCCACACCCACCCACCCTGAATACCTGATACATCAAGTTTTTGTTCATTATTCATCATAGAATTGTCGTAATGTTCACACAAACAAAAACATTAATCATTACTAATATTGTCTCATAACTCATATTTCACTTTTTTTGTTATTGTAATTTTCCACCTAACAGAAAAACATACAAATGAAAAGAAAGTAATTTTTTGTTAGGACCTTTTATTTCATAAAAAAAGAATAATAAATTGCTGTTTGTTTTCATTAATAAGCGCCTCTAAAAAGTTAACTAAAAAGATCAGTCTTTAAAGAATTACTGTTTTTTCTTTCTATTTCAAGGTGACTATAATAAAAAAATAAATAAAGTGTTTGAAATAAGATGGTGTCTTGGAATTTTTCCGTGCTACAACTTGTAGCGTATGTCTGGATGCTAAAGACAATGAGAAAACAACATTCAAAAATAAGAAAATCAGATACAAACTGACCCAATCACAGGGTTCTGTGATAGCTGCTTCTTGTTTATACTTGTCTGGTGATAAATGAATTCGTCGGTCATTTTCTAGCTTTAAACAAATGCGCAAAATAAAAGTAACAATCAAGCTGATGGCTATGATTCCACCACATATAAAATGTCCGCGTCGATATACTAGCTCATCATCATCATCATCATCAGGATACACCTAGGGACAAAAACATCACCATTAATATTGTTTCAAAGTCAAATGAAATTTCGATTGACATGTTAAAGTTTGACTTAATACGTTATTCTGCAAGTTTTCAGAAGCAATAGTCTTACCTGAGGCGCTAAAACTCCGCCAATCTGACCGATACCTACAAGGAAACCGACAGCCACGGCTCTCTTTGTACGACCACCGACATTATTTGTTAACCAAGAGAGTAGTATTGGAATTCCAGAGAATGTACCACAACAAGCAACACAAGTACTGACATATAATGCCACGTTGCCTTGATCAAACAAAGTAATCATTAAGATGAATCCGACCAGAGCGATTGATAGACAAAATGCAAGATGAAAACTGTGTTCGTTTCGACGTGATGATGAATAGCCCGCTAGCAAACAACATATGCATGCGATAAAATAAAGTGGTATTGTCATTAAATGTACTTCTTTGGAGTCACTCATAGATTTGACAAGTTCCGGAAGATACGTTGTCACACATTTGAAAACGCCCAAATCGCCGATAGCAATTATGACATACAAATATATTCGCCAATCAATAAAAACATACCGCACTTGCTGCCACGAAAGTCGAGTACTTGATACAGGCTCACTGTTGGCTAAACCTGCATCTTCGCGAAGAAGATTCGTTAATAACAGTTTTTCACAATTATTCAACCCTCAATTTTTAAAATAATTTAGAATATTTTCTACTCTTCTTTTAACTCTTACATTGAACAGTATCGGGTATACTGCCAAGAAAAAGATAGGTCATAACACCGAGTGGAATGATCGGCAAGCCTTCAAATAAAAACAACCATCGCCAATTCTTCAGACCGCCAATATCTTCCATATGACTAATACCATATGCCTAAATTAATGACAATCGTTGATTCGATCAATTCAAAATACGGTGTATTTTTTTATGAGATCCACAAGTACGTACTAGAATGTCATCTAGAACACCGGCAGCAAAGACTGCTCCAAACAAAATAGCAAATCTCATAATTTGCTCTTTTTTGCAATACCACAAAGAGAAATAAATGATAGTGCCAGTAAAAAAACCAGATTGAATCATGCCCTTCAACGACGATTTCGATATGTTTTGTTATCAGTCAAGATTGAATTAACTTACGAGAAGAAAGCGAGCAATTAGCAGTTGTTGAGAATTTTTCACGAAAGCCATACCAACAGTGACGCCACCCCATAAAATCAAACTCAACGACAGATAACGAGTCGGACCCAAACAGCGCAGAAGTAAAGTACTTGGAATTTCAAAGATCAACTGGAAGAAAAAATATATTAGAATACTTCGAAGTCCAGTTACATCATTTTCTCACAAAGGAAAGATAAAATAGTGAAATGGTCCAATTCATAGCAGATGATGACATACGTAGTTCGTCTTTAATGTTCATCAATTTGGCGTGACCTACGAGAGTAGCATCAACGAATGAATGATTCAATTCAAAGACACATACCGATACTAAATCGATTGATGTATGAACTAATCTCGAGGAGAAACAGAAATGGTATGAGTCTTCGATCGAGCTTCCAAACAAGGCGACGAATAGCGATAGCTCTGAATTGTTGCTCAGTGTTTTGATTGATAACAGGGATGGTGACTATCGTCGCCACAACTGCTGGTGTCGGTTCCTCTCCCATCGATACTGCAATCGCGATCAAAGTCTGTTATGTAAGGTTATCCTTTGTAAAAGTGTCAATATTCTCCTTCTCGAAATCATTCCCTCTCTTTTTTCACCTTTATATATATTGCATGCCTCTTCCTCTTTCTAATGCTCACAGAAGTGACTCATTGATGTGACATTATATCAGGCATTACATGTAGCTTGTTTGCCAATTGCTGGATGACTATGAAATACATGGTGAATCCTGCAGTAGTAATTGTACTCATAAATTCCTTGTCAAATAAACTTATTATTGTGATATAGAAAAAAACACCGATAATAGTTGAGACGCTATTTGACATCAACTTTTTTTACGTTTGTCAAAAATCATCAGTCACTAGTAACTGGCCTATTAATGTGAATAAAAAAACCTATTGTAAGAGAGAACAATCAGTTGAAAGTTTATCAACGAGTACTTTTAATCATCCGTTTCTATAGATGTACTTAAGTTACTTTCGAAGATAGTGTGCCATTCGAGTATGGCTTGAGTAGATGTTCACAGTTTGTTACTCTTAGGAGAAATAGTCTTCATCAGATTGAACTGGTTAGAACTAACGGTTGCGACTGTTCGTTTTCAATTTACAATCAGAAGTAACACAATAGGCATGTTGCATAAAAAGCTTTCTTTAGAACGGCTGAACGTATCGAGCTATCCTCTGGTTCTTAAGAATTTCTCGACGTGCTCTTTCTTTTGTCTAGCGAATACTCTTGTCCAAAATACTCTGAAGTAGGTTTTCTAGAAAACCGTAGTTTTGGAACCAATGGTCGCGAAAGCTTTTTTGTTTTAACAGTCTATAATGATAGAGTAACTAATTCTCTACAAAATGAGATGTCTCCGAGCTGTCTACGACTTTTTTTGGCCGAGTTACACCAATTTCAGTGAAGGGTGTGGGTATGAGTGTTGATGAGCAGATGATCAGCACCCACACCCCACACCCACACCCACACATTAGCCTTATGAGATAGACAAAATTTTTTCGCTGGCTTGAAAGTAAGCATATGAATCTAGTATCTAATATTCGGTTTATTTCTGGACTTCGTAAATAAATTTTCTCTGTTTTTTTTCGGGGTGAGGAGTGCTAAGATCCGTAATGAGGAAATATATGTGAGCTCCACGAAATAGACATATATTTTCTTTGTAATTTCTAATAAATTATATTTGTAACTTAAACATTTGTTGCAGGGACCATAAAACATTTGCAAGATCTGTTAGTTAAATATTTTTTATCAGACAAATGATCTTGTTTGTTAAGTTTAAGAAGATGTTGTACAGATCTTTTTACGTTCAATGGTAGGATCTGCTTTTAAGCGTACAAATTTTTTCTGATCGCTAAGTATTAACTTAGCCTTTTTTAACTTACATCTCTATCTTTATCAAACCCGTAAAATCACAATATTTTTTTGATCATGTTTTAAACTATTCAAAATCTTTTGTTCATGTTAGCCATGTTTATTAACAATCATAGTAGTATTATTATGCTGTTAATATTATATTAAAGTCCTTTTATATTTATGTTTCATGTTTGATTAAATAAATAAAGTATATATAATAATATCAAGAGAACAATTAAAGTTGAATTATAAAAATAAATAAAATTTAGTCATAGTTATACAAAAAAAAACCATATAATATAGAATTATAATATTATTAAATTATTCACTTTTAACAATCATTGTTCTTTCTGAAATACCATTTTCATTAAAAGCTTCTACCGAAAAATAATAACTTTGATCTACTGTCAAACTTTTCAATTCTAGAAAATTTTTATCGTAAACCATCCACGAATTATACAATTTATCTGGAGCAATACCCCAAAGAATATTATATCCCTGACAATTCTCTTGTTGATCCCATGTAATCATAGTATCACGTCGATCCGTATATCTATTTACAACTAAATTTTTGATTTTAGCCGGAATTTGACCATGACCACGACCAAAAATTCGTAAATCAGAAATAGAAAGTTTTGGAGTAGGTACATGAATATTTTTATAACGAATATATCTAACTATTTGAGGAAAATCAAGTTCAACATAATCATTAGGTACATCTTTATAATCATTTTTTCTATCGACTAATATTGACCAATTCTTTTCATCAATTGAACCTTCTATAAAATAACTATGATACAATCCTTGAACTTTTCCATAGATATTTGATTGGTAATCATGATAATTAATTTGAATAGCATATACTGTTCCAATATTGAGAAGATCAATTTCTATCCATTGTTTATCATCATTTTTTTCTGCTATCCAAAATGTTTTTACATTTTCATCAACTATATTTTCAGGTTTATATTTATCATAATAAGATGATGCTTTAACTGATTTTTTATATGAAATTAACATCCATCCAGTAAATTCTCCCATTTTTCCTGCAATTGCTGGTGCATAATGTGGATAATCACCAAAAGAAGTATTTGTATACATTAGTCCATCTTTATCAAAATAAATTGGAAACATACATATACGTCTTTCCCAATTAACATTTATTGATACTGCCATTGATGCAAAATGCCAATATTTATTTTTAGGTCCAATTACAGTACTACCATGTCCAGCACCATTCATGAATCCACCTGGTTTGTATGAAATAGGATTATTTGGTGCATAACGATATGGTCCAAGAGGTGAATCACTTATATAAACACCATCACCATAAACATTAAATTCTGTTCCAGGAGCTGCATACTGCATATAATACGTATTATTATATTTCGTTAACCAAGGACCTTCAATATATCCTTTAAGTACTTTATCACCATGATTTTCTCCAAAACGTTCCCATCCATGATTATTTTCATCTAAATTGAATAATTCATAGGTATTTTTAGAAGGACGAAACATATCTTCTTTATCAAGTGTTTTTGCTCGAATAGGATATGTATTAGATGAACCCCAAAACATGTAAGCTTTACCATCATCATCTATGAATAGAGCTGGATCTTGTAAATCATGTATGATTAATGGTATTGCTTTCCAATCTCCTTTCTTAGGATTATCTGTATAAAGAATACTCATAGAACCAGAAGGATCTCCAGTTACATATAAAACAGAATCATTGTAATTATGAGCAGCTGGTGCATTTGATCCTTGAAAATACCATTTTTCAGGATTTATAAATGACCAATGAAGTAAATCAATGGAATGCCAATAACCCATTGAACGGGTAACAAACATGTAATACTCATTTCTAAATTTAACAACAGCTGGATCAGCACCAGAACGATATGAAATATTTTCATTTGCATTGTAGATACTATAAGTGTAATCAATATTGATTGGATTACAATAAGTACTTATTTGAGTTGATTGACCATTGATATTCAATAAACAATAAAAATTGAGTATGATTACAATCAATAATATTTTAACTGTTCTATTCATTTGTGTTAATTATCTTCAACTTTTACCACATAACTATAGAAATAATGAAAGAAAAACAAGATTTACTATTTTTTTTCTTTCAAAAATATGGATTTAGTTGAGGATTACATCTTTTTTTTTTAAATTCTAAATAAAAACAAAAAAGAAAAATATGCAAATAATCCCTATAAGTATATACAATAATCATTTCTTTTAAATGTCAAAACGTTATAGTGTGATAATAAATGGATTACAAAAACAAAAAAAAGAAAATGAGAGTAGAATATCAAATGATTGGTTTTTAAAAGATGAAAAAATGTTCTTTGTTTTATTTTTTATTTTTTTTGTTGCTTTCTTTTTTCCTTAATCCCTAAATCACATACACATTTGTGAATAATCAAACAATTAAGACAATTGTGGTGACCAAGTAGAGATTTTTCAAAATATGCTATATATTATATATAAGTTAAGGCAGTCCATTTGAAAAGAACTAGTCATTGAACTCAGTTTAACAAACAGAACGGATTCATAGAAGTGGAAACCGTCGCAGATTACAGGTCTATGTATAAGATATCTTACTTTGAAAAAAATCCCTAAATCAAAATTCCTACTTGATTAACAGAAAGACCTTAATTGTTTGGTTATCCATAAATGTGGGTGCGGATATGGGCATGGGTTCACGAAAAAAAAAAAAAGAATGCTGTTTAAGATGTGAGATATGACGCCAGTGCTGAAGGGTTATTTGCTTGTGATCAATATCGAATCACTGTCAGCAAAGATGGACAATCATTTAAAGACATAACGCATGACAATAACCAACTGTGAGCTAACATTATTTGAGGCAAAATAGAAGAAGCAACTAGACGAAAAATAATCGAAGAAAATATCGAACTTTATCATCAAAACAGCAAGCAACAATCGAATCATTCACTCATACATAAAACTGATGCGATTCTGTTGAGCATTTAGATAGTTCATATTAATGTTTCGGTACATGTGTTTTACTCAAGTTTTATTATAGAACTTGTCTTCCTCATAGAAGAGAAGTGAGTGAAAATGAAAGAAAATATAGATCGATCGAAAGGTTTTAATTTGAAAATTTATACGAAGAATTCAATGAGCATCCAAATCA